TTATTCAAATTGTATGATGTGCTCAAGGATCAGGCCATGCCATGCAATATGCGGGGTGCAGTGGAAAATGAAAACGCAGCCCCACAAATTAAAAACTCAAGAACAGTTATAGTTTGGGGTTTGCAAGGGAACGATACAGAACACATAATTCATAAGATTATTTCATAAGTCACCAAAAAAGAGTGCAGGAAATCTGTCTGCCCACTAAGGAGCAAAGAGTCCAGCCGAGAGCCTGGGTCCCATGGTAATGTCCTGCATGTGTCTAGCTGAAGACCCAGAGCCCGTAAGTGTCCCCTATGAGCTGAACTGGAGGCCTAGAGCTTATGACAGTATTTCACTCATGCAGCCCTGTGTCATGGCTCTGTGCTAGGAAGGCCCCAAGGTCAGTGCTACAAGCTAGAAAGTCTGTACCAGTGGGATGAAGGATGTGTGCCAGCGGGCTGCAGGATTTGAGCTCAGCCAGGAGCAATATTCAAAATAATAGCCAGAGCTCCCCCAAATATACCACAGCCATCCTCAGCAATAGTCAGGTCCTGAGCTCCTCTGAGGATGAGGACAACTGAATTCCCATCATGAAAGCCAAGGTTCTCAGGAGACTGAGCTGTGCCCCATCTTTCCCTCTGGAGCCAGGAGGTGATGCTCAAGGTGAGGACCAGAGTTCCCTCAGTGAATTGTAGCCATTTTCAGTGACAAGGTCCCAGCCTCCTCTTACAACAAGAACAAGCAAGTTCATCAGGAAAGCCAGCATGACAAGATCTTCCAGGAAAATAAAAAAATGTAGAGACTCGTTGGTCTCTCAGTGTACTCCAGGGAGAAGTGGTCGCAGGAATGAGGAAAATATAGATAGGAAGACAAGAGCTGAGTCAGGTGGAGGTCTGTTTGCCTCATGGGCAAAGGACCGGAAGAACAGTAGGGGCATTTATTTATACCTTTGAATAGTTGGTATTGGGAGACACAAGGTTGCCTAGCAACTAATAGCTGACATTGACTGGGCAGGATGTTTTCCTGAGGACTGAGGTAGCTTGACTGCTTTAGGCACTGAGGCCTTGTTCTGCCCTTCCACATTTGACCAGTTTCCAGCTTCAGCTGCTCCCAACAAACAGTTCACCAACATCATCTCACAACCTCACCTCTTTTTCCATTTTGTATTTTGTTGGCAGTGACCCTCAGGTGGACCTCTCACCCAGCACCATGCTGGTTCAGTTCAGTTGGATGTGACCACCTGTGGTTGATCTACCCCAGGAAGAACAGTGAGCAAGGCCCTGTGTGAATGTGTAGTTCCAAGCCCATCAAGCTGGCCTCGTGCTCAGCGAGTGGGGATAGTAGGTAATTGCACATCAGTTAGAATCTTATGATACTCTTTCAGACCATACCTATGTAACACTTCCTTTTAACTGAAGATTTTGTCTGTAATGAACATAGTTGAGTGTATGAGGTGCAGTGTGACATTTCCATATATGTTTGTTGTGGAAATGACATTGAGCTCACTAACCTATCGATTGTTACTTATCATGTATTGAGAACATTTTATACATGAGGTGTAATGAAAAATATGCTGAATGTTTAAATTTAAAATTTTTATTGCAATAAATGAAACACTACTATTAATCTCCCTGAAAAAAAAAATTACCTCAGGATGTTAATTCTCTGTCACTTGTAAGTGTAATGCAATCCAGTGAAGAATCCAGTGAGCTGTCCCTCTCTCTTTTAACACTGGTCATGACTTAGACAAGTTTGTTAGTTAACATTAACAAGAATAGCTAGGAAAATACTGAGAAGGAAGAGCAGTTCTGATGTGAAGATGTACTATGAGGAACAATCAAAAGAAACAGTGAATGTTTAAATTAAAAATCATTACAGTAGAAGACATTTCCATTAATTTCTCTCAAAATATCCTCCTCGCTTTGGACACACTTATCCTATCATTCTAGCACTTTCTGGTGCAGTTCTGGAAGTCTTCTAGGTCCTCATTGTGGCTGCTCTATGTCTTGCATCAATTCAAAGCATTTACCTTTCATGGTCATTTTGACTTCTGGAAAGAGCCACCAGTTGTACGGTGCCAGATCTGTGAATAAGGTAGAGGACGACATGGCACAGTGTTTTCATGAGCGTGTATTTCTGTTGGATGGCATCTGCAGCAGTATTCACCATATTTCTGACCACACCTCTTAAAGACACCCACGAAAGAGGGCTCCCCAAACTTCTTCAGAAAGTGGCAAGAAAGATGGGATATGTTTTTCTAATTGAGTGGGAGTTGGGGGATGTGTCTTTTACTGCAACAATTATTTTAAAATTTGACCATTTGCTGTATATTTTGATCACATCTCATACAAAGCCCTCTAAAATAGAGGAAGGTTCAGGTTAACAGAAGAAAATAGAAACTGCAGAAGTAACCAAAGTGTAAACACGGAGCTAATATATGAAAAAAGTGGTATCTCAAATTACTGGGGCAATGGTGACCTTTTAAAAAAAACTGTTGAAACGACTTGATACCCATTTGTGAAAAGAAGGTGGAAGGTGTAGTTCAGCAGCAGAGCAGTTGCCTCACATGTGCAAGGCCCTGGGTTTGATCCCTAGCACTGGGGGAAAAAAGTTTTTTAAAACTTATTTCTCAAGCCATACCTATGAACAAACTCCAAATGTTTCTGAGACCTAAGTGTAAAAATTAAATACAAGTACTAGAAGAAAGTACTGTACCTCATAAACAAATTCCTCTATAACTTGTGCGTATGGAAAAGCCTGACTTAAGTCATATACTAAAATATGACTCAAAATCCAGGTGTAATAAAATGAAATTTGATTATCTTTACTACATAAAATTAAAAGCATTTGGCCTGGGGCCTAGTTCATCCAGCCTATTCCACCTGGCTGTATTTGTGCCCTGCCCTCACATTGTTTTATCTCTGAGGACAGAGACCCCTGTGGTGGGTGACAAGGTCATAGTGAGACAGATCAGACCAGGCAGGACTCTGCAGACCAGGTGGGCTCATGTTTTCTTGAGTGTCCCTGAAGCCCAGTTCTTAACAAGGCAGTGGCATGATCAAATTTCCTGTTTCAGAAGCTTCCCTTGGCCTAGTGTGATGGCCCAAGCCTGTAATCACAGCAATCTGGGGGTGCTGAGGCAGGAGGATCCCAACTTCAAACATACTCTGGTCAATTTAGTGATTTAATGAGACCCTGTCTGAAGAGAAGATAAAGTTAAATAGATTTGAAGGGGGTGGGGAGCTAACAAATTAAAGAAACTAGAAAAAATATTTACAATATGTATCACAAAAGACTAATTTCCCTAATCTACAACACTAAAGTTTAGCCAAAGCAAGCTCCCCATGCTGTGGGGGTGTTGTGGAGTACAGCATGCCAGGACCTGCAGGGCACTGAAGGTACAGCTGTGACCTGGCGCTCAGTTTCTTGCGAGGGTTGAGGCCCCAGGACCTCTGGACCACCAGTGGGAAGAAGCAGGCTGCAGCCATTCTGGCCTCAGGTTGAGGTCCCTCACCCAACTGGTTCCTTCATTTCTTTCACTTCCTTTTCTGTGAAAATGTCACTGTAAGATTAGAGGTTGAACTTCTCAGTTTTTTTTTAATATTAATTTTATTGAGAAAGAAGTAGCAATGAGACAGTTTCAAAACAGGTTAGTAGCACAGTCACAATATTTAATGCATTGCATGAGCTACTCAGTTTTCTTTTTCACTTCTTTTGCTCTGGAGAGAAGGATGCCCCTCGTCTTCTGGTGCTCTGTGAGTGAGGAGGAACAGTTCATAGGCTATCCCTTAACCTTCCGCAGACTAGAGAAAATCTGTGTCCTACTTTTTAGAGTAACCCACTTGCAATGAAGAAGGGAACTGAGAAATACGATTGTCCCAGCCCGAAGTGGCCACAATGAACAAATAGTAAAGTTGTAGCTACTGTGATAAAACAGTATTCAGCAAACACTGATGGTGGTATTATGGTGGCACATGCCTGTCATCCCAGAGCTCAGGAGGCTGTAGGCAGGAGGATCTCCTGGGGATTGAGGTCAGTCTGCACTACACAGACAAATTTCATGCCCTGTCTCAAAAGAAAAAAAAAAAAAAAAAATCAAAAAAAAATCCCCTCAAAAAGCTAGCAAACAGTTTCACATAAAATCAGCCAAGACCCCCATGCACATGAATACACTTATATTATTATTATATGTGTGGCAAGAAACATCAATATCTGAATCTAAGGAAAAAGAACAAGACTGAGAGAAAAATACAAGACAACCTGTTCCAAATGTGGGCTTAATTTTATTTAAAGCAGATAATCACATCTCCAAAGAGTGAAAACAGTAATCTAAATGCTCACTGACCGGATTCACAAGAGCTCTGCATAAGTACACAATGCAATACGGGACCCAGAGCCTAGCAGAAACCAATTTTTTGCTTCTTGAGAACAAATTCAGCCAAAATATCAGAAGACAGAACACAATCAGTTCAGCATAATGATAAAATTAATGAATTATGACTCTCTCAAAATACAGAACCTGTGGGGCTTTGCTGGACAGCTCAGTTGTTTAAAGCACGGCTTGAGTAAATGCAGGCAGGTGCCTACGACCGTGGTTCAATTCTCAGCTTCAGTAGCTGTACCAGACCTGCCGTTAAGGCAGCCTGAAGTAGCCAAAAAAAAACACCCTTCTCAAAATACAGAACCTGTAACCCCAGCTACTCAGGAGGCAGGGAGAGAAGAGGAGGCTGAGGCAGGAGCACAGTGAGTTTGAGGCTAACTTGGATAACACAGTGAAATCCTATCTCAATAAAGGGACAAGCAGAAAACACTAGGCATATACTCAGATTTTAAAAGAAAGGATGAGGTTATTTCAGAACAAACCCAATAGGGACCACTCTGGCACTAGAGACCAGACCCTCAACTCTCACATAGGCATGTGGCCTTTATAGGGTTATGAGCATGGGGGGGGGCAGTGGAATGAAAAAGTCACAAAGGGCTTTTGAAGGGGAGAATTGAGTACAGAGGGGTTATGGCTTATCTGCCTGGGACAGGGCCTGAGAATGTGCAAGGAGCTGTGATTTGTCTGTCAACAATGGGGCTGCACAATGACTGGGAATTATGATCATGGTTGTGGTCACTGGGCCCCAGTTGCTTGTCAGGTTAAGGACTGAATAAAGATGGGAGTTCTGGATTGTAGCTATGCTCATTGGGCCTTGCCACCTCACCGTTGTGCGTTATTTCTAGCAGTTAGACAAGCATAGTGCAGGGCAGGGGGATTATCTTTATCAATGGCAGTGGTTGGATTTCTTCAGAAAGGATTCTGAGTTGTGAAGTTATTCAAATGGACTTCCCAAGGGAAATTTGTTTTGAGCACTGTGTAGAATTCCACTTCTGGGAGAAGCCCAGAATAAAATGAACTCCTCAACCTGCTTCTGGGAGAAGCACCTCCGTAGGAGGCAGTGCGGCCCTGGGGTGCAGAAGTCTGGGGCCAGACTACCCACTTGAAATGTGAGTCCTTCTGCTTACTAACCATGTGACCATGATTTACTTAGGGAGTTTTCTTGTTTATGCAATGGGAATAGTAATCGTATCAATCACATATATGTAAAGCTCTTATAAAGGGGACAAGTAAGTACTCTCTATATAAATATTAACCATTATTCTGGGACCAAAAATATTTTACATGTATATATGTGTATCTTTAGGAAAAGATTGAGTTATACATTTCCACTGGGGGGGCAGAAATGGATATTTTAAAAAAAACATTTAAAAGTAATTTAAAAGTTACATATTTCTAGTAGAAATCCAGAAAAAGGAAACCTGAATTGGTAGGATTTATGAAGGGAGGAGGAAACTACTACATTGCAAGCTATAGTAACTTTATAATGTTAGACAACACAACGGGAAACAAACTTTGTCTGTTAAAGCTAAAAGCAGAATACACTGAAGATTGCAATGTATCCAGAGAGGAAGTGTATGGAGAAACACGTAGCAGCTCGGCAGGACACCTGTGCTCCACAGGGCTGGTTCCAAAGATTAAGGAGGGGCAAGACCCAAGTTACGAACCTGATCAGAGTTTAGCTTCCAAGTGCTCTGGAATAAGAAACTCAGTTTTCCAAAGAGTGATGAGAACTTCAGAAGTAGTTTTCTAATTCCTATTTCTGCCAAAGATTTATGAAATCTATATTCCTCTATTAAACCACTAGCTATATGCCAAGCTTTATATTAAAAATAATAGTCTTATTCCATTTATTACCAAAGACTGCTCAATCTTGACTCCTGCTCACTTTTCTTCCAGGGGGTGGGGAGGGGAGGTTTATAATTTCCTGCAACCAAACTCCTTGCCAACAAATAAGGGTTAAAATGCAAACATAAAAAAGCGAAGGTTTTGCCCCAGAGATGAAAAGAGGATCCAAGGGCTGAGGGTGTAGCTTCTGTGGGTCTGGGAATAGTAGTGTCCATCAATAGCCAATAGTGAAACTGAAAGACATAGATTATTTCAGATTCTCTCAGACCCAGCTATGAATGAGACATGACACTTCCAGCACAGAGTGACATAGTTCTTGGAGCTTTTATCTTCCATTAAAAAAAAGCAGCACTCTAGCAATGATTGACAAGCAGATTTCTATTCTTATATAAATCACATCCTGAGATGAAGTTTTACAAAGGCATTGCGAGAGAAGGATTTTTATTAGCATGAACTCCTCAAACATATCTTCATAAAGCTTGGTTAAGACATTGTTCTAGTGGTTTTTCTTTTTTTTGCTTTGTTCAATTCCTTTCGCTTTCAGCTCTTCCTTAACACGTGTCAGGTAATCAGGATCAGGGTAACCATAACTGCAGAAACAAAAAATTTGTACAGTAGACATTTGGCATATGAAGATTTAATACTCAGGATTGTAAACATTCACAATAGTCCTGAGGGTGTGTGACATAACCCCCCTCTCTCTTTCTGCATATCTCAATTTTTTTTATTTTTTTAAAGAATAAAAAATAGTGATAGGAAAAAACAGCATTAGAAATGATACAAAATTTCACTAAACAAAGTAATAGAAATTCAACAGTAGTTGCTGTATTGCATGATGTTATCTTTTAAATTAGTTGCTCAGATTACCAGATATAAACATGCAAGATTGATATAAAGAATAAACAAAACAAAACAATAACAAAAAAGTTGTAAGAAATTCAAAAGAAAAAATAAGAAGAATAAAAAGAAAAAAATTTTAAACATTAACTGCTCCTTTCAAAAGACCAGCAGGTTAGAAGATGCAGTCACAACTTCAAACACATTCAGCCACCTTATCTTTGACAAAGGGGCCAAACATGTTCAGTGGAAGAAAGATGGTCTCTTTACTAAATGATGTTGGGAAAACTGGCTTTCCACATGCTGAAGACTTAAAATAGAGCCATGCCTATCACCATACACAAAACTACAGTCAAAATGGATCAAAGATTTAAATATTAAAGCAGAAACACTAAATCTTCTGAAAGAGAAAGTAAGTAGAAATCTTTAGGACTTAGGGGTAGGTAGAGAATTCATGAACAAAAATCTAACTGCAATGGAAATACTTCAAAGAATCAACAATTGGAATCTCATCCTTTTTTTTTTTTTTTTTTTTTTTTTGTATTTTAGGGAAGGGTCTACAGAGTATTCAGGGTCTCACTACTAGATCAGACTCTTAGTGATCTGCCTATTTATAGTCTCCCAAGGGCTGGGATTACAGGCTCACATCACCACGCCCAGCCTCAATCTCCATCTCAGCACACCCTGGGTGCAGGGCCGGCACAGCAGGCTAGGGGCTCGAACCCCTGGCTCCTGTGCCTGTTTACAGGTACTTTAATCCACTGAGCTATTTGGCCAGCTCTGGGATCTTATCCTTTTGAAAAGTTTCTGTATGTAAAAAGAAATCGAGCAAGCCTAGCTGTCTTACCAGTATCAGTCTCCCAACCAGGTTTTTAAAATTCTTGATTTAGAAGGCTGAGGAAATAGCTCAGTAGAAAAAGTGTATGTCTGGCAAGTATCAAGGTCCTGAGTTTAATCCTTGGTACTACAAAGAAAACTTTTTTAAAAATTAAAAAAATTAATATTCTCAGTTTCTTGTTAAGTAGTAACTCATAAAATACAGTGACTTACTGTATTTTATAGAGGATGCATTATAATTCTATGCTGCTAGAATTTTTAAATTTGAAGACTTGAAAAGGTTTTGATATGCTTCTTTTTGAATACCAGGGGTCTCATCTAGTTTGAGTTGCCCACAAAACAACCAGAATTCCCATGACACAGATTCCACCACCATTAATCCTTTACAAGTAAGACTTTTTCTAAAGTTCTGTTGGCCAAGTAAGTTCACTTATTGTGTAAATTGGTCAGGAGAGAGGAGATAAAGAAAAACAATCTTCAGACCCAGGGACTGGTGTTCAATCCGCAGCTCCACATGCCTTGCCAGCCCTACCTCCAGGGAGTGCTGAGACAGGGCGTGGTGGTGCAAGCCTGTAATCCCTGCACTTGGGAGGCTGAAAACAGGAGGATCATTATGAGTCTGATCTGTGTAGTGAGACCCTGTAGACCCCGTACTAAATTAAAAAAAAAAAAAAAGAAAGAAAAGAAAAAAGAAAAAGAAAAATGATCTTAAAAGAAAGCAAACTAAATAACATTCCTAGCATCTGCTCTCCAAAGATATAGGAAACCCCCAATTAAATTAACTTGAGATACTATTCATCTTGAATTCTGAAATCCCCTTCTTTATGACACAAGATTTAATAACTTCGCAACACCGGCAATCTATTACTGGCAGATAGAAGGTGAGGGGGCATCCATATTTTCATCTTTGAAATTATCCTAGTATTCATATTTCTCAAAATACTTTACTGGGGCTGGCCAGATCACTCTGGATTAAAGCACCTGCTTAGGCAGACACAGGGACCAGGGTTCAATCCCTGGTGTGCCATGCTGGCCCCCGCCCCTGGGGTGCGTTGAGATGGTGACTGAGACTGGGCATGGTGGTGCATGCTTGTAATCTCAGTGATTGGGAGGCTGAAAACAGGAGGATCACTATGAATCTGATCTGTGTAGTGACACCCTGTAGACCCTGTACTAAATACATTTAAAAAAAAAAAATTACTGACCCAACAAACACATCTGCTATAAACTCTCATACCCACAGGTACAAATTACCACATTCCACAATTCCTGTACTTTATCAAGCACTGAAATTAAAGACTCTTACTTTAATGGTCCTCCAGACTGGGATGTTTTGTGGTGAATATCATTCCACGTAATGACATTTGATGTGCCTTGTACTCGAGAGTATCCCACAGTGAAAATGAGCTTGCGGTCAAAGGCTACCTGAAGTAGTTCCAAAACCTGCCGCCCTTCCTCATTATTAGGTAAGTATGCCTTTCGCATTGTTCCAGGATAGGGCTTTCCTGGGTTAGGATGCTCTTCCTGGATGAAAACAAGAAAATGTTTAGTGAAAAAAATTCCTTGTAAAAAAAAAAAAAAAAAAAAAGAAAAAGAAAAAAAAAAAAACAGTTCTTTGTCTAGATTTTATTATATGTAATCCCTTAAAAGATACTTCCAGTCCAAAAATTATCTTTGTTAATAAAAGGCAGAAACCTTATTTTAAGCTAAAAGAACGAACTGAGAGAGTTCAAAGAAATTTTTTTGTCAAAGCGTCTTAGGACACCCATCTAAAAACAAAAGTTAAAAAAAAAAAAAAAAAACCTGATGGGGATCATGCCTTTCCTTTGTAAAATGGCTCATTATCTTTTTGGTGGGTGAGCCATGCTTTTCCCCTAAACCAAGACAGAAATTCCTGTAGATTCGTAAATTCCACTGAATAAATATTCCACAGAATAAATACCCCACCAACTACACATAAATATTCCCATGTCCAGTGGTAGCATGCTTCTCTCTCTTGAGGGCCTGAACTCTTTTTTTTTTTTTTTTTTTTTTTGGAACTGGGGATTGAACTCATGCCCTTGTGCTTGCTAGGGAAGCGCTTAATGTCCTGAGCCATCACCCTAGCCCCTGCCCCCCTTTTTCTGAATGTGTACTTTTACATTTCTTTCTAGTAACTCCCTTTCTGCCTCTTAAAAATAAATACATTTTGTTATATTGTATATGTGTTCATTTGTAAGTAGTACAAAACAAAAGCAAGAAAAGTATTAAAATTTTTATTCATATTTCTAGAAGTTTACATTTATCTTCTTTCCTCAAACTTACTGGGAATACTACCTGCCTTCCTGACTCCACCCCCCCATTCCTAACTCATAATCTCCATCTATGTTGTCTTTATGTTAAGCAATACAACAGGCAAGCTGTCCAGCTCAGTGGAACAGCACTGGCTTGGTATGTGTGAGATCCTGCATCCAATCTCCACCACCACCACCATTTAAAAGACATGAAACTATCTAAATTATACACACACAATGTGACTTTTATCACTATTTCACTCATCTTGCATATGACCATGGGATAATGCCCAAGGAAATGCACTGTCTACTAAAAAACAGAGCAATCCTTTTCATTCTGGAAAACCTAGAATAATAGAAACAGAAGGACGTCAGAAACACTTACCGTTTGAATGCCTCCCTTCATGGAATATGTAATCATAATGGTGTTACAGGACTTATAACCTGGAAGTGATGTTTGTAGAAAGGTAAACTCCATGGTCCCGTCTGGCTGATTCCCTTTCTGGATACCGTAGGGAGTGTTACACACAGGACAGACCGGTTTATATGACATGGATGTCTTGATACAAGGGGTACAGAATTCATGCTTGCACTTTTGGAGCACATATTTGTTACTAATGGTCTCCATGCAGATGATACACATGCCTTCTTCCTTCTCATCTGTTTCTGAGCTCACAGAACTTGCAGAGCCCTTGAGTAGAGGAGAAGTTGCTTTGGCGTCGTTACTATCTATGCCCCTATGGGTTTCATAATCATTGTTCGGTTTCTCTCGAGCAGATGGCAATAGTCCTCCTTTTTGTAAGATAAATTGCTTGGCCTGTGCAAGGGAATTTGGCAAACCGGTCAAAGTCATCGACTCTTGATCCAGTGCAAAATGTACGTCTGGATGCTTTCTTCTAAAGTCATTATCAAACTTGGTCCCGAAGAAGTATTTTCTGTCCTTGACCAAATCTTTCAGCAGGAGGACTTCACTCATCAATTGACAAGAGGCAAGTTGAAGGGCATCAACGAAGCTTGTATAAGCATGCACAGACAGATCTACCTCCCTGTCCTTAGGATTAAACTGAATGCAGGCTTTCTGATTTTTCTCCCAAACCTTACTGCAGGTGTTGTATTTCTGCTCTATCTCTGTTATCTCCTGAAGTAACTCAGCTTTTAAAAGCTTATAGAGAGCAGTATCAACCTCAACTGCATTCATCATGGAGCTGGGAACCAAGATTCGCACAGGTGGCTTGACAGAACCTTCGGATATTGTTTGCTTGGCAGCTGTGATGTCATCTAGGCTTCCAAGGAGAGTTAGCCCTTCTCTGTGCTCTGTTATAAGGAGCTTTGGAAAACAGCGGCTCAGTTTTTGTTTGATTTCATTTGCCTGCTTCCTCCCTCCTAAAGGGACACATTCTTGCTTCAGCAATTCTATTTTTTTCTGAAACTCACTGACAAAAGACTCTTGAGCTGCTTCTAAGTCATCTGATTGACCGCCGGTGAAGTCTAAGTGGACCACATTGGAAGAACTGCCTCGAATTTTGATGGTTACACCAAATTTCTTTTCAATTGACTCTATTTTATCAGGACAGGTATATTTGAAGTATTCAAAGAGAGATGAGTCAACTGTAAAATGGCTATCTGTTTCTTCTGACCTGGCTTTGGGTTTAGAAGGAGAAAATCTGCTGTTCTGGTCATGCTGGTCAGGAGGCTTCCTTTCCACATTGGAAGGAGGAACCTCCTGTTTCTCTTCACCTTCCAGGAGCAGCATACTCAAGAACTGGTATATTTTTTTAATATCTTCGAAGTCACCATGCACTTTCTCAATTCCATTGTGACCCTCTACCTTTTTGATAGTGGGGCAGACAGTGGCTACCTGTGACCTCTGTTCTTTGGAGAACAGGTCACAGTTCAGGTCAGCTGTTACAGTGAGGAAGATCTGAAATTAAAAAGGAACAGAAACAAATAAAATCTCTGCATTCTATCAACAGTCTGCTTTTCAAGAGAATGCCTAGATACTACAGAAACAGCCCCTGTCTTTCCTTAGCAAGAGCTAACTTGCTCAAATCCTCTGAGAGGACGCAGTATGCTACAGACCAGAGGGTCTCTGTCCTGTCTGTATATGAGATTCATTGGAAAATTACAAAAAAAAAAAAAAAAAATGCCAGGGCTGAGGCTCAACCCTAGAGACTAATGTAACGGGTCTATAGTAGAGCCTGGGCATGAGCATTTGTATAGCTATATGATCTATACTTTAGGGCTGCCACTGCTGTGCAACCTTTGAGGAGCAAAGGCACTTCTGATCTATGGCCAAGTTACCATGATCCTCACATGTCTATGAGCTTGGAAGAAAACCATAAATCTGAAGGGGATTTTTTCCCCCTCTACTATTACTTTTTCTCTTATTTATTCTCCCTCCTTAAAAGAAACAAAACAAAAAGCAAAGCACCTGACTACATGAAAAATGCCTAAGCCCTTTAAAACTCTGGTCTTTAGAAACTCAATTAGGACACATCACATTGGGATAAAAGAGGTCAATGAATGTAACATAAAAGCAAACTGTCTAGTGTTTTGCCTCCCTTCATATTATTTGCACATATTCTTTCCTCTGTGTGAGCTATTCTTCTAGATCTTATTATTTATTTATCTATTTATTTATTTTTAGATATTAATCTTCTACCAGACCTCTTTAGCATCTCCTAGCTTGGCTCTGCCACATGTGAGCTTCTACTTAGCAGCCAGAAAATGTACAGATGGCTCCACTCACCTGCCCCCAAAACAACTGGTGAATCTCCCAATGTTTCAGTTAAAATTGGAAGCCTTTCCCTTCAGCCTCCCAAAGATCTGACCTCTGGGTACCTCTCCAAGTTCCTAGCATTGCGTCCCTTGCTCACAGCCCTCCTTGAGCCCTGGCTTTCTTGGAGCTTCTGGGGCTCGGGATGGAGTCTCTTGGGGGCCTATGCAAGTGGGCTTTCCTTGGCCTTCCCTTGGAAGTCTGTCCAGGCAGCTCTCTTTCTTCCTACATGTCTCTGTTCAGATGACACCTCATTGGAGCGGTTCTAAACAGCCGATTTCAAACAGTGGCTCTGCCACTGTCTATCATTTATCTTTCATTATTCTTCCCAGCACTTGCCACTGGTGTCAGGCATTCCCTATCTGTTGATTTGTTCACTATTATTTGCTCCCCTCATGAGAGGGTAAGACCCTCAACCTCCATAAAGTGGCTGGCACATAGTAGACACTGGATATCTATTTGTTGAATGAATCTCTGGCTCCTCCCCACTATTTAAGTCTCAGGCCAAACCTCCATTCTGCAGAAGAGTTGGCTTTGACATTTGGCCACATCTCTTGCCTTTTCTCACCCTGGCCCTATTCCTCTCTGAGGCAAAACCCTACTTTATCCTCTTCTTAGCTGCAGTGGTTTTATTTTGTATTTTTCCTTTGCCTGCTTATCTTTCAGTCCACTTCTCCAGCCCCAAAGGGAGCTTCAGGAGAGCAAGGCCTTGCTTTGTTCAGCAAGTCTCAGGGATGAAACCAGAGCTGGCTCACAGCTTGTCCCCAAGGGCTGGTTGCTGCACTGTCATGGCTGGTGTGGTGTCCTCAGAGACAGCTCCTTCAGCCGGCACTCACCCTTTGGACGCTGGAGTCCACAGCATTGGAGACAGACCCTTCACATAAATGCTTTGCGTCAGCCTGGGGACACGAAGAAATCCTGACCCTCGGAGTTTTCTCTGTTGGCTTCTCAGGGGTTTGCAGCAAAATGGTCACGGGCTTGTTTTCAACCTGAATCTGGTGCTTTCTTTTTTTCAATACGCCCTCCTTGGCTTCAGGGGAAACATGAAACACACATTCACACACAAATGGGGAGGTGTCCGAGAGAGTTGGCCTTCTGTATCTCTGTGGATTGGTTTCAGGGACCCCCCCCCCCCAAGGTACCCAAGTCCATACCTGCTTGAATCCGTTATATTATAATGGTGTACTGTCCCACAGTCAGGGCCACCTTCCCTGGCACTCTTTCCCAGCTTGAACTGGGGGCTGCCAGCAAACCCCAGCGCTGGCTTCCCAGGGCGACCCGCACCCCCTGTCGGCGACTCACCGGCCTTTTCTCTGAACTTCACCAGGAAAGTGTCGGACTCTTTGGGGCACCAGGGACGGACGGTGCACTCCCCGCCGCCCGAGTCGCGGCTCTGGAAGTACTTCTCCAGCTTCCAGCGGAGGCCGGGCGAGCCTGTGGACACCCGCACGAGGAGCTCGTACGGCGAGCCGGGCTCCACGACACTGGGCTCCGGCTCCAAGGCGCTGGGCTCGGACTCCACGTCGCTGGGCTCGGACTCCATGGCGCTGGGCTCGGGCTCCAGGGCTAGGACAAGGCCGGGACAGTCGGGGCTGAGGCGCGACCCGCCCCGCCGAAGACCAGGAGTTTCAGTTTCGCTTCCCAGGAGGTCCCTCCCTGTTCCCGGTAAGGCCGCCTCCGCATCCTCTCGCAGCTGCTCGGGTGGTCGACGTCCTCTGGGTGAGTAGGTCGGTATCCTGGGTCGGAGCTCCCCCAGGCTCCCGGGGTCCCTGCCCTGCAGGCTCAGCGGCCGCCAGAGTCCAGGCCAAGCTTCCTCCTTGGAGGGCTGGGCCAAGAAAGTTAACTTTCGACTGTGCTGACTTTACTATTACTGGACGCTAAAAAGCAGTTTCCGTTCTAAATTCAGATGAGACTTAGCTAGTTTTTATTTTGGGTAATTGAGGCTTTTTCCCTGTGCTATGACTAGCTCATTGCCCCCCCCCATCCCTCTTCCCTTCCCCATCCCTCTTCCCTCCCTCATCCCCCTGCCCCATCCTCCTCCCCCACCTCCCTTCCCTCCCTGTCCCTTCCTCCCCAACCCCCTTCCCCCCACCCCACTTCTCCCCCTCACACTCTCCCCCCCAACTCCACACGTGACATTGGCGCCTGAGGCTTTTGTGCCCTCCTTCCTTGCTTGGTCAGCAGCCCCTAAATTGGGGCAGATCTGTCAGCAGATGGGGACAGGGAGAGGTGGGGAGAATGAGGGATTATGGAAGGGCCTGCTCTGATCTGTCCTGTCCCGGAGAAATAGGATGGGAGCCCTGAATGTGAGTTCTAAAATTCTCAATCATATTTTAGAACAGGTGAAATTAATTTTACTGATGTGGTCTTTAGCATAGTATATCCAAAGTTTATTTATATATCTTTATTTGCTTTTTTTAATTTGCTTTTTTGAGGCAGGGTCTGACTATGTAGTTTAGGCTGGCCTTGAACTCCGTAGGTAGCCCAGACAGGGCCCTCAACCCAGCTGTGATCCTCCTGCCTCAATTTCCTCAGCGCTGGGATTACAGCGATGCACTACCCCACCCAGCTATCCAAACTTTCATCATCTTAGCCTGTAGTGGTGATACCACGAGAGCTAGATTCTAGGTTCGTGTGTACAGTAAGCAAAGAATTCCAAGTTTCTGTCCAGTGGTAAAAGTAAAACCAGCTACATTTATTGTAGACAAGAGGAAGCTATGCCCAGTGCAAATCTTTGCTAACAGAAACAAAAAGGTGGCACAGCAGTAAAGGGGTTTCAGAGCAATGGAAATAAAAAACAGATAAAATAGGCTTTGGATTTTAAATGATGTGTACCCCTCACATGTAACTCTCACTGGGTCCCTGGGTAAGATTGATAGATATGATTGACAGGGCACTAAGTCCTCTCAGAGGTGGATAATAAGCATGCCTATCCCAGAATGCAATCTAATTAAATCACATTCAGTAGATGCAGGCCATGCATATGAACCTTTAACGAGGTTTGAGTGGGAAAGGTCAGGCCGTGAGCTCTAACATGCTTGTGCTCTAGCCTGAAGTGTGAGAGATCTCCTGAATCATTGTTACTTTATTTCTGCATCTCTTAGGACACTGGAAAGAGGATCGGGACTGGGGTGTGGCCTAAATTCAGGTGGCTGGAGGGGGAGTGGTCCCCCAATGCCCGTTGTCCTGCTGTACTAATAAGATAGTGGATATTCTTTTCTGGCATCCTACATCTTTGACATCCAGTGTTTTTCTTACACTTATCTCACATGTCAATTTAGACTAACCATTGTCTCCCTAACATTCAACAGCTCCATGTGTCTAGTAGTGGCCTACCTTAGACAGCACAGCTCTAGATAGTGAAAGGTTTTCAAGATTGGCGGAGAGAAATTGAAAAGTTGGGACAAGGAAAGTAGGAAAGTGATGTGGTAGGTTTCCATTTTAGAAAGATGGGGTGACAAGGAGGCACAGGATACATTTCTAAGCAGGGGAAGGCCAGAGATAAGACTTCCACATGTGGCAGGTAAGTCTGGAAATGGGTCAGTCTTTGTGGGCAGCAATATGGCAATATTATCAGAATCATAACTGTGTATACTTTGTGGTTCCACTTGTAGAAATGTGTCCCATTGATGTATCAGTTCCTGTAGAAAGTGGCCTCTGCATAAAGCTGTTTTTCATTTTTGTTTAGAATAGATTTAAGATGGGGTTTTCTTGGACGTCCATAAAGAGGCCAATATTTAAATAATTTAGAGTGTATCTATACCATAGAATAAAATGAGTAGTTTTACAAATAAAAGTCAATCTCAATGTGCTACTAGAGGACAGATCTCTAGATACATTAAGTGGGACCGATAAGGCACAGAAAAGCATATACATACAATGATACCTTTTGTGAGCAAGTGACTCTACAAGGATACAGGGGAGGTACTGGTTTCCTATGATTGGAGTTTAGTGAGAAAGATATAAGCTAGCCTTTTACACTCTCTGAATTTGACCCAAATAAATTTAATACCTATTCAAACAATTAACTATAAAAGCAGATACTACCTCAAAATGTTTAGAAAGAGTATCACAGCGGTTTAGTGTGGACTGTTACCTTACTTGGTTTTGCGAGCTGCCCAGGGGATTGGTGGGTCATTGAGGTGTGGCCGCAGGGATCCTGTGTATGTCTGCTCTCTCATCCTCTCCTCTCTGGCACTGATCACCTGCCCTGTTTCGTGGCTGCTAGCTGCCCATGGACTGAATGTCCCAAACCATGAGCTGAATCAAACCTCTCCTTTATCATGTTGGGTGTTGGGAACTGTGTTCCAGTGATGAAAAAGCTGACTAAGAAAAGTGTATTTTTGAGACCCTGGGATGCAACAGCATCATAAGGAAAGCAGGGTAGGGACATATTTGAGAGTGACTTAGGGTGGTCAGAGCCCAGAGATGGACTGGATATGGGACAAAAGAGAAGATTTAAGGATAATTCTTAGGTTTCTGATTTGAGTGAGCAAATGGTGTATCATTTACTCAACTGTGGAATCTAGCAGATAAGTAACGCATGAATTTTAGTGAGGACAGAAGGGAGGAGTAGGAATAAGGATGTAAATCATGCAGAGGCTGTGTTGGAGGGGATTATGTGGCAGTAAGGTAGAGTTGGAAAGCGAAGAACCTTAGCCTAGACATATAGACATGATGGTCCTGTTTGCTGTTGACTGTTAAGCTTGGAAGTGGATGAAACTGTCCAAGCAGATTATGTGGAATAAGATGAGCAGCGCCTCTCTGGCAGAATGCTGAGCAAATAATTAATGGATGGAAACAAATTCAGGGAAAAGACTTGTAAAGACAAACAGAGGTATCTGAACAACCAAGAGAAGAACATAGGAAAAATCAAGAAAATCAATTTTCAGGAATCAAAGAATGAAATATCACAGAAAGAGGTCAAACTCTTTTCTATGACAGTTCCTTGGGGTTAACCACATGGAAGACACTGACAGTCTTAGAGGAAGGGCTGAGGTGGGGAGCCAGACTGGTAGGCTGAGCAGGCAGGTGAGGAAGAATCAACCTCTATTTTCAGAAGTTTGTTGGTTTTTTTTTTTTTTTTTTTTTTTTTAATCCGGTCTCCGTAGAGACCGTCAAAAATTGCCAATGCCGACTATATTTCAAGTCATCATGGCGGGGTATTAGGAAAAGTTTTCAATTAGCAATAATCACGCCTCGGATAAACCTCATTGGCTACGCTACTGTCACTGCGCAAAGCTTATTTTCAGAAGTTTGATTCACTATGAAGAGATGGAAACATGGTTGCCTACAGTGATGGAAAATTGGGAGGGCTTTTGTTGTTATTGTTATTTTTTTAAAGGGAAAGATGAAAGTTTTAAGCAATGTGTTTCATGTTTCCAAAATTCTTTGGGGGTAAATAGAAACCGTGGATGCCACCTTTACATGTTTTTCTCTAGGCCTTTAAGGCCTGGACTGAGGACAGAAACAAGGGCGACGTCTAGAGAGAAAACCCAGCAACCCACAATCTGCCCAGAAGTCGTCCTTCTCTTGTGAAAACACCAGCCCCCTCTAGAAGCAGAAATGCATCTTGTCCCTTTCCTTGTGTGCTGTGCTACATTTAACTCTTCCTGCAGGGTTAAAAATAGCAGTGCTCTGATATTGTAGCTGATTCTATATATTTTTTCTATTGAAAAGGTTTAGGAATCACTTCAGAGACCTAAAGATAGTATCAAGTGTGGACCACTGTATCTTTAAGTTCTCATCCTCATTCTAACAATTTACAACCTTTTAATTTGTACCTATGAGATAGAAAGTCATTGTGATGTAATTTCTCCCAGATTTTTTGATTTATTATTTAGACTTGTGCTATCTAGTTAGGTCAAGGATATTTATCACAAGCTCAGTAACATACAAGCCTCATAAGAACAAATAGAATTTCTTTTTTCTTCAAACACTCTTCCCTGGCAGGCTGAGGCAGTAGGATCACTCCAAGTTCAAGGCCAACCAGACCTGTATAGTGAGTTCAAAGCCAACCTAAACTACACAATGAGAGACCCTGTCTCAAAAAAGACAAAACCCACTCTCCAGGGGTTTGCACTGGCTCTCAAGGCTGCTTTTTCCTCATAGTTTTTCAAATGCTTTGTTCAGTCTTCAGTCTTTCTCTTCTACATATATAAAAGCCTGCTGCATCCTTCAAAGCGTGGCAGGAGTCTTACCTTTTCCATAAAGCTTTCCCTGGCCCTGCCCTTACAACCTTCCCACTCTCTGAAGTGCTGCCGTGGTTCAATTAGAACTGCTCCTGAAAGGACCAAAGGTAAACAGTAACAGCAATAGCAAAGCAACATGTGCCTGTTCACCGAAGGGGAATAACTACCCAGGATCAGAAATCTGGTTGAATCCTCCTATAGAATATTTGCACATATCCTCCACTCACAGTCAATGCTTACTGTGTTCTTTCTATTTATTCCTAGAAGTAGGCCACCATATCTGGGAACTATAGTCTATATTCCGAAACACAGAAGAGGATATAAACACTTGAAGACCCACCAGGGACCTGGAAGATGGCCTTTTCCATGGTAAAAAGTGTAAATATCTGCATTTCATGAATCCCAATCAGCATATAGCTAACAGCAAGAAATTTGGAGTCTGTGGTTATGCCTACCCTTCTGATGTGGTTTTAATAGCCCAGTGGAAGTCTTCTCCTTGGGTACCTTTCAATAGCTCAGCTGGTAGAGCCGAGCACTGTAGAGCTGACACACATCTGTGGAAGTCCTCCTTGCATTATGTGGGAAATGGGAAAGCATGACTATGCTGTGGAGTCAACTTGAGGGTGGATTTTGTTTTAAAGGCCCCTTCCATATTGTTTGGATTCTTGTCACTCATTCAGCAGTTCCTTTTCAAGATAAGAGAAGAGAATGATAGAAAAGGAGTAAAATCAAAGGAATAAGGGAAAACATTTCATTTTCTAAGTCCAAATATTCTACATGAAGGCTTGTCATGAAATAGTTGAAAATGTGTCTTTTCTGTTCTATTTGGGGGAACCCCATAGGACTTCAGAAATTGGAGCCTGTCTCAGAATTTGAGGTCATTTCAGTCTGTGATCTATGGGACTTTCCAAGTATTCATCTCTAACCCTTCGTCTCATTCTGAATAAGAAGTACATTGACCTCTAGGAAAGGGAGATAAGTCTATGCTTGGTGGAACATTTAGTATTTTCAGTGCGTCAGATGCATAGAAAAATAACGACAAAATACCATGGACTTCTGTCCCAAACCCAGTGCTCTGAGCAGAAATTCTAATTTGTGTTTGTTACTGTGTTTTAGTCAGTAGTAGTCATCTGTACTCATACAGCTTCATTTTTTTAAAAGCCATTCTCATTTTTCACAGGGTGCTGGAGCAGCATCTTCCAAGGAAGAATCAGGTAGGACCAACTCACTGTCACTCTTATTTCAGAAGGGCTGTGCTCAGATCTTTCCTCAGTGGAGAAGAGGGAGCACGAATGGAGACTGTGTCCCCCACAAGTGCTCAGGTGCGTGGCTGCAGGTCCCAGCAGCAACCCCATTTGTGCTGCAGGAGGTAGCTGCCTCCCGGCAATGTGGCCCCCACTAGTGAGTTCTCTTAAGGCCTCCTGGGCCCTTCCCTTTGTCCAACAGCTGTGAGACTCTCCTGACTACAGTTCTACTGCTGAAATTGTCTGGAAAGAGTGGACGACTGATTGACCCTTTGCTCAGCAAGGGTGAAAGAGATGAATGTTACCTACCTGGTCATGTGAGATTACCAGCCAAACCTGAAGGCACCTGAGCACAAATCCTTGATTGCTGCTTCTTTGAGTCACAGAGATCATCTGAGGTCTTTCTAGTTGGCTCAGATTAGAAATTAAACTACTAATAAGTAATAACCACATTTTATCTACTTTAGCATGCACATTTTTTTCACATTTTTACACCTCTGAAATAAGGCTAGCACAGTTCATTGGGCATTGTTTTTCCTTTATCAGAGGCATATAACAACAATGTTTTAGACACCATGAAATACTGTTCTAGCTTGAGTTTTTCAGAATGTAAAATGGTACAAGTGGTTCACCACGAAAGAAAAGAATCCAAATTGGGTAGCTGGGGCCATCAGTCTGTAATGAAAATCTGCTAGTTAGAGATGTCCCATGTTGGGCATAAGTGGCCTTGCTCAGCCCCTGATGGGGGTCATCCTGGGAAAATTGTTTTGTGAGAGAGCTGAGATGAACTCTCCAGAGGCTGAAAGATGGAAGCTGCAAACTTACTGTATTTCCCACTTCATAACCAAATTGAAGGAGGAGCTGAGCTTGACATCAGCTGGCATCTTGTCTGCCACATACAGTACATAGATTTTACTCAACTAATTTTAATTGTGCCATGGAATAGAAATACTATGAATTATTTACTGTACCAGACATTGATGGTGTTTACCCATTTGCTTGCCTGATGTCCTTCAACCCTTTTTTCACAAGCAACAGCTTTGGCCAATGACACACAGAAGGCAGATCAGAATCCTAACTCCTATAATTACCCCTTTGCATTATAACTCTGAGGCACATGATCTTTACTCTGCTAGTGGAGCTAAACTTCATTTGTTAAGTAACACACTTTTTATTCTTTTTCTCCCCACCCCCTTTTATTTTAATTTGTTACAGGGTCTCACTACACAATTCAGACTCATAGTGATCTTCCTGTCTCAGCCTCCCCAGTGCTGGGATTACAAGAGTGTGTGCCCCCACTCCCATTCCCGGGGCCATACAGCATGTGATACTGGGACCAAACTCCCTTGTGCTTGCCAGGCAGGCACTTAGACTGCTGAGCTATCTCCCCAACCCCATTTTTTCCTTTTAATTTTTCACCCTGCCTTTCTTAAGCCAAGCACATAATATCTTCTAAGATCACCTTACAAAGAAACTAATTACACTCAAAATTCTTGTCTCAGGGCTTTCTTAGAGAACTTAGTATGGGGCTCTAAGAAAGCAAAAAATGTATTAATAAAGCCTCCCTGTGTTTCTAATTTATAATTAAGTTCCTGTAAATACATGTGTGTTCATCATGACTCTTCCTAAACTCACCATTTTGGCATACATTTAAAAAGATGCCTGAGCCACATACACAGTTTTCTCACCACCATCACTGTACACAGTAGCTAGCACTATGGAGTACTTACTATATGCCAGACACAACACTAGGCACTTTACAGGTGACCTACGGTTGAACACTCTTAGATATTGTTGGTCTAACTATATGTCTCAGTGAAAAGGCGATCAGTGAGGGCACTGGTTTACCCTCCTGAAAATCAAAAACACATTTTTCTGGTATGAATGGAATCATATCCTTTTCAAAGGAACTTATGTTCATTTCTTTATTACTTTATCTTCCCTTCTTTTCCAGCAACTGACTATTTTGTTAAAAGCCTTAACTGCCAAATTCCCATTAATCATCGTGACTTCACAATTTTAAAAAATCAGGAGAGTGAGCTGTCCAAAGTCCTCCTGGCTAAGTTTGGCTGTACCTCCACCTTGATCTCTCCAGCCCTGCCAGGGAACAGCCAGCCTCTTGCTCAGCAAGTCTTCAGACAAAGCCTGATTCCTGGACTAGAGTTGTCTGTCTGGAAGGATGACCTCACCAGACATGCTGTTGACGCCGTGGTGAATGCAGCCAATGAAGACCTTTTACATGGGGGAGGCCTGGCCGGGGCCCTGGTGAAAGCTGGTGGCTATGAAATCCAAATGGAGAGCAAAAGTTTCGTGGCCACATATGGTAAACTATCATGTAGTGAGATAGCTATCACTGGAGCAGGACGGCTTCCCTGCAACCTGATTATCCATGCTGTGGGGCCTCGGTGGCAGGCCATGGACGCACAGAGATGTATGGATAAACTGGAAGGTACTATTGTCAGAATTCTTAGCTATGTGAACTATAAAAATCTAAACATTACAACAGTTGCAATTCCAGCCCTGAGCTCTGGAATTTTCCAGTTTCCTTTGGATTTGTGTACCAAGATTATTTTACAAACTATTAAATCATATTTTGAAAGGAACCAGAAGGTTGGTAATTTGAAAGAAATTCACCTGGTAAGCAATGAGGACCGTACCGTGGCTTCCTTTAAAGCTGCTTCAGAAGACTCTCTAGGGAAGACTTTGGAACTGGGCACCTGGACGAGTCAAGAAACCACTCCTTCTGTCAATACTCAAATATTCCAGGGCCTGACTCTGAAGATCGTCTTGGGCCGCATTGAACAGCAGATGGTAAATCCTTCCTTCTGCTCTCTCCCACTGCCAAGGGGACCCTTGAATGGTTAATTAACTGTGAAGAGGTTTTAGAATATGTACTTTGTGACATTGTGTAGGGAGCATCTTGTTGGGAGTAAGAGTGTAGACTTCCGCTACTTGGGAGTCTGGGGCAGTTGGGTCACAAGTTTGAGGACAGCCTGAGCAACTTAGTGGAATCCTGGCTCAAAGTTTAAAACATAATAACAATGAAAACAGTTGAGAATATAGCTCAGCATGAGACCCTGGGTTCAGGGTCCATAAAAAGTGGACTTCTGGACTACACCATTTGGTTACTCGCTTTGCCATTTACAAACTGAATAATCTAAAACAAACTGTTTATCTTTTAGTTCTCCTCATCTGTAAAATGAAGCTAATAGCAGCACTTATATGTTAGAGCTGAAAGCAATACCTATGAAATGCTTATAACAGAGTTCTTGACACATTATTATTGCTATTGCTATTATTCTAAGGCACCATGAAGAATTAGAACAATTTTGATCCCAATGAACTTAAAAGCTAAGATTCTTGTTTATCTAACAAGCTATTTCCTTGGAAAATCTCACTGAGGAAATAAACCATGTCTACATGTCTGAAGCAATCTATTAACAGTAACAAAAGTAATATTTAAGACCATATGAATTTGTGACACGAGTTGAGTATAATGGACGAAGAAAGACTGTTTTAAGAGACATGAGTTTTGAATCTGATCCCAAGTTGTGATGGACATGAACTGTCTGGAGGGAAAGCATTCAGGGTAGTAGAGTGACTTGATCAGAGAGACACGGAGGAACTGACAGGAAATGGTGAGTTGGGCTAGAGTCATAGATATAGGTGAAGTTGGAGGTCGAGTTCTGTGTGTATAAGCTCTGTGCCGGGGGCTGTGGAGAATACAAAGGGTGACTTAACCTTTAGCTGGGGTTCATTGCACATAGGACCTTAGGAGGGAGGGAAGGAGAAGAGGCTAACAGTGAACCTAGGCCTTTCTGGGCGAAGGCAGCTCCCCTGCCAGGCAGAGAGCACCTAGGAGGAGAAAACATGGTTTGCTCATCCCCGCAGCCCCAGTCCTCAGGGCGTGGTGTAGGTGTGCATCTGGGCTAGGTGTGCAGCAGATTAATGATGACCAAGTGGGAGGGGAAGCAGTAAGCTTGGGCTGCGCCCAATGAAGGGAAGAAATATAAGGTTGTATTCTATTTTTCTTCCCTAGATCAGTGATATCTCTTGTGGCCATAATCAAATAGACTTAACCAACAGTAAAAATACCACGTAGAGCCTAGAAGATGTTAGATAAATAAGGGGGCCCTATGAAACAAAATATTTGAGAAGTTAATAAAACCAATTTAAAATTAAAATGGAAACAAGCTAGTTAAGTAATCTGTGCATTTAATTAAAATGGTATTGTATTTATTTATTGTTAATAGTATTAGGAAATTCACACTTTTTAAAGACTGCCATTGTCCTCAAAAGGCAAATTCTGATCGCATTTTCAAAGTGAAACATTCTCAGGGCCCATGAGATAGCTCAGTGGACTAAGCACCTGCTTTGGCAAGCACAGGGACCAGGGTTCAATCCCCAGTCCTGCATGCAGTGCCGGCCTCATCCCTGGGGCACACTGAGCCTTCAACCAAATCTGGGCATGATGGTGCACATCTGTAATCCCAGTGCTGGGAAGGCTGAAAACAGGAGGATCACTACAAGTCCAAGCTGCGTAGTAAGACCCTGTACCAAATACATAAAATGAAAAAAAAAAAAAAGAAAAAGAAAAAAAAGTGAAACATTTTCAGGGCATGATGATGCACACCTATAATCCCAGCACTGGGGAGGCTAGGCAGGAGGAGAGGCATTAGTTCCAAGTCCAGCCTGGGCTACCTAGTGAGTTCAAGGTTAGCCTGAAATACATAGTGAAACCTTGTTTCAAAAAAACAAAACAAGGTGAAATATTCACTAACATCATAGATGTTAGTACTTAAGTTACCCCAAGGGAATGAAATCCATCAGCATGATTAGTAGGATCTGGACATTGGAGGAGCAAAAAACAACCCCCTTTAGAATAATTTATTTCCAATATAGTCTACACATACACAGAAAAGAAAAAAATACAGCCTTCAAATATGTATAGTATAGCTGTTTCAAGAAAAATAGAACAGGTAAAAAGTGGTTGCCTGTTGCATGGGTGGGTGAGTGGATCTGAGGACCCCACCAAAAGGGAAGCCCACTCTTCACTGAAGACATTTTGCTCCATTTAGACATTGCTCAAACACTATTTATTTTAAAACATGAATTAGGTGGTAGCAATTTGCTAAGAAATTTTATTTTCTCTCTGTTTAAAATAAAAACCAAAATAGCCCACAATGAAATAGCCAAAAGTGATGGTAGAAGGACAGAGAATTAAGCTGATTATTGATACTTCTTAAAAACAATCACAAGAAATGCTTAGAATCTAGACACGTAAGAGATGTGAACCAGGCATGGTGATGCACGTCTGTAATCCCAGCACTTGGGAGGCTGAAGCCAGAGGATCTTTGCAGGTTCCAGGTAAGCCTGGGCTACAAAGTGAGCTCAGGGCCAGCTTAAACTACTTAGCAAGACTCTGTTTCAAAAAGATGAAAAGAAAAAAAAAAGAAGTGTGATGCAGCAGAGTATTCAAAGACATCTACAGTAAAAATTAGGTTTTCCATATATGTACAGAATTTTCGAATAGAGCAAAAAGCATCATGACCATCAAATAATCACTGTCCTCTCCTCCAGATATATTAGTTTGTATTTATTTATTTATTTATTTAGGTACTGGAGGGACAAACTCAGGACTTTGTATTTGCCAGGCAGGTGTTTATGGCACTGAACTACCACCCCAGACCTAGATATAGTAGTTTTTAATCGCTATTAGATCAATGTTCATAGATCTGAGCTCTTCACAAAAGTATTTTTCAAATCTCCTTAGGGAAATACTTAAATTAGTGATTTAAGAAAGAGAAACGTAACAATGTATACTGTGCTTTCCTCCCTTTTCAGACAGATGTGATCGTTAGTTCTGTAATCCCGGATAACTTGACAGGCAGACCTGTGTCACAATCAATTCTACAAAAAGCAGGGGATGAAATAAAATGGGAACTCATGGAGCAACTAGCTCATCCATTGTCAGCTTTCCAGTCTGTACTGGTCACGAAAGGATTTCAATTGTCCTGTGCATATGTATTCCATATACTATGGCGTTCAAAATATTCTGAACATCTGGTAAGTTCAAATAAGCCATAAATTGGGGCTGGGGAGATGGCTCAGTAGAATAAGCACTTCCCTGGCAAGTGCAAGGGCCTGAGTTCAATCCCAGGTTCTGCAAAAATAAATAAATAAATAAAATAAACAAAACAAACAAATAAACTTTACACAACTGCAGGGTCTAACTAGTCTGTTCAATGCCCCTTGTTTCACTACATTCATAAAGTACTGTCAAATGGTATAGTTTCACTTTTCATATCATGCTTGTGAATATGTGAACTACTAAACAAGTATGGTTGTCACAGTGCTCTAGGTTGAAATGCTACTTGTCCCTGGCTAAATTTTAAGCAAGCATACTGCAAATGGACCCCAATACAACAGAGCCCGCTTAGTCTGTGTTCTGGTTTGCCTCATCACACTGAGCATCCTGTGAGCCTTTTCCTAGGTAGGCAGGGACCCAGCCTTTGTTTATGTCACCCTGTGTCTTAAATTGCAGGAAGGGCTGGGATTTGCCTCCCAGCACCATTGCAGCATGATCTATTACGTGTGATCACTGCCTACAGTGGGAATAGGCTCTCCAGTCAACTTTTCCTCTGAGACCTATAAAGTACAAGCATTAACGAGTAGCAGGAAGGGCTGGAGCGATAGCTCAGCAGGCTAAACACCTGCTTTGGCAAGCACAGGGACCAGGGCTTGATCCCCAGTCCCTCATGCTGTGCCAGCCCTGCTCCCAGGGTGCACTGAGCTCGCGACGGCCTGGGCGTGGTGGTGCACACCTGTAATCCCAGTACTGGGGAGGGTGAAAACAGGAGGCTCACTATGAGTCCGCACTGTGAAGTGAGACCCTGTACCAAATACACAAAAGAGAAAAAAAAGAATAGCAGGACCTTATTCAAATATAGAAAGAAGGTGCAGGTGTTGGTGGGGAGGGTTGTGTACTCCTGTAATCCAAGGAGTGGAGGGATTATTTGGGAGCCTCAGGCAAGAGGATCACTGTGAATTCAAGGCCAGCCTAAGTCCCTAGGGCCAGCATGGCAGGTTCAGGGATTGAACCCCTGGCCCCTGTGCCTGCTTATAGGCGCTTTAATCCACTGAGCTATTTGGCTGGCCCTTCCAAGAGCTCTTTATGCTAGCTTACAAATGGTAGGCAAGCAAGATTAAGCTGATGGTTTGCTCACTTAGGCAAGACTAATGCACTGGGAGAAATTACAGTGTCCTCTGTCCTGAATAGCACACAGTGGGCTGCTCAGTACCTCAGTTTCTCAGTTCTTTCGTTGCTCATCATCTAATCGTATATGTTCAGTGTGTTCCCAATAGACCGGCACCTTTCTGGCCCTCTGAGGAGATAGGAAGGTGATCACAAGTGCAGGTTAGCGTTGTAAAATAGGACCAGAATTAAGGGACATGCGAAGTCTTATTTCTCATTCAAGAAGAGATCTTAAATGTGCCTTTCTCTTCTAGGTGTTAAAAAATGCAGTGAAGGACTGTTTGGAAAAATGCCTTGCATTAAATATAAGTTCCATTTCCTTTCCTGCTGTTGGGTCTGGAAGCATTGGTATGCCGAAGAATATAGTGGCAGAGATTATGTTTGATGAAGTTTTAAAGTTTGCCAAAAACCATTTGAAAAAAAAACTAACTGTGAAGTTTGTGATCCTTCCAGACGACTGGGAGACATATTTGGTGAGTTAATACCTTCGATATGTATGGTTTGTTTATGCGTTCAACAATATCTGTTCAGTATCTCCAGTAGTGTCTACTCCACTACTTAGTGACGTCTCTTTCCTTTATTGGCATTAGTTTTCCTTCTGCCCCTTAGAGGTAAACAGTGACCTGGTGTTGGGGTGGGGTCCTTTCCTCCTCCCCTCCCTCCCTTCTAGGACCCACCCTTCTGCCAACCTATTCTACAGCCTCTGAACACTCCTGTTTTCTGAGCTAACTCCCGACCTATATCCCCAGGCTTCAGTCATTTCTGCTTCAGTCTTTGTCATCTCAAATCCAGCATATTTAAGCCAATTTTATTTTTGTCTTTTTCTTTCCAATAAATCAATTTTCCTCCAGAATTCCTATCAACCTTGGCTTTGCCTCTTGCTGGTTTTATGAACTTGGGCTGGTTAGTTTCCTTACCTGTGCCTCAGTTTCCTTACCTTAATTTAGGGGATATTTTAGGCAAGGTCTCTCTCTGCAGTTCAGGTTGGCTTTGAATTCACAGTGATCCTCCTACTTCAGCCTCTCAGGAGTCGGAATTATAGTCATGCATCCCCATATTTGACCAGTTTCTTCCTCATTATTATCATATTTTTTTCTAGAGACAGGATCTCGCTATGTAGTTAAACTGGTTTTGAGCTCACTAAGGAGCCCTGGCTGGCCTTGAATTTGCAGAAATCCTTCTGTCTTAGCCTCCCAAGTGCTAGCATGATCTGTGCCACCATGCATGACTTCCTCACTTTTAAAAGGGAATAATAGCTACCGTTTTGGGGGGGCTATTATGAAGATTAAATGAGTTAATGCAAGGAAAACCCTGAGAACATTATCTGACACATGATGATCCCTCCTTGAAGGAGGGCCGGCCAAATAGCTTAGTGGATTAAAGCAAGCAGGCACAGGGGCCAGGGGTTGCAGCCCCTGGCCTGCCACACCAGCTCCACCCCTGGGGCACACTGAGACAGCAGTTGAGACTGGGCATGGTGACACGCACCTGTAATCTCAGCACTTGGGAGGTGTAAACAGGAGAATCACTATGAGTTAGATGTAGTGAGACCCTGAACACCCTGTATACTTTTCCCTAAAATACAGAAAAGAAAACACAAAACTTCAGTGAGCTACAGTTCACTGAGGGCTAAATTATTGAGTGACTTGCTTGTCTTTTTTTAAATTAAGATTATGGATTTATTACTAGCAGGAGTGTTTGTGGTTAATGTTGCAACCCCAGTACTGCCCTCGAATTCCATTTATTCTATATTAACTTGCCTGTAGGTGATCCCAGAGAAGTTAGTTTTGGTCTAACTCAAAAAGGGGACATGTGTGTAGAGGAGGATGTCTCGTGTCTCATGGAGGGTGTCTCAGCCTAGAAGCCGTCCCCGCCCAGTGCTGTGCCCTCCACAGCTCAGTGGCGGCGTGGCAGTGCAGGACCCACTGAAGCAGGGCACCTTCTTGACACTGCCAACCTTCGTGTCCTTCGCGTGCAGTTTCACCAGTTTCTACCACGTAGGGCACTATCACCAAGCTCAGGGAGTACCCTGAGCACTTCCCTGAACTGTGCCTGAAGCACATACTCATAGGTGGAATTGGCTACTTCTAGGAAAAGAAAAAAAAAGGTTCATTCTCTTCAACACAAACACAGAAATGTACACTGCAGTTCCAAAAAAGTGCAATAAAAAATATGCAAAGATCAAACACAGGCTCAGCAATCTCCTAGGGGATCAGAATAAAAATAACCACCTTGCACGGGGTATTGTGCTGCCAGACACTGTGCTGAGCAGACGCTGTCTCATTCCATCCTCCCTGCACCCCTGCGATGAAGCACTGGTGACATCTCCATTTTACAAGTGGGGAAACCCAGCAGTTAACGTGCACGTAGCTAGTCGAGGGGCTACACCAAGACTCCAGTCTCAGTCTGTTTCCCTAAGAGCTTATGTTCTGAACCACTAACCAAAAATACAGAAAACAAATGACTTGAGATGTACATCTTTGTGTTTTGTAATTCAAGAGGATTATCTTACCTAGTAATTTATATTATATAGTGAACGTTGATCATTCCTCAGGGCCTTGCAACCTTAACACTGTATTTTATCCACATGGAGATATAGTATGTGCACAGATGTGTACACCCTTGCCCTCCTGCAAGCTTTACAGTGGAAGATGTGTGGGCAGAAAGATCAGAGGGCAACCTACATGGATCCTTGTGGTGCCGTTACTTTGGCAGAATTCCTACATTCCAGAAGATGCATTAGTCAGACAACCAGAGTTGACCTGACTTGCGAAGTTCAATTCACACTCAGCTCACAATGAAGTGATACTTATATTCAGACACTCATACTTTCTAATCCAGAAGTGAATAAATAATTCCCCAGCTGGCTGAAACACTTGTGTTCATCAGTATTTCATGATGTAAAGGTCCTGGCTGGAGCTGAGTACCTGTGAAATGGAATGGTTGGTTATTTAAATATATATTGCTTATCTACCTTGGACCAGGCATGAGACCTCAGGACAAGGAACGGATCTTTAGAAAGCAGTACTGACATCTCTCAGATCAGATCTTAGTTGCTAGTGGACCGAGCTGAAACACTGCCAAATTCTTGCCCTTTGGCTCTACTTTTCCAAGCTCTTTGAAAGCCTCCTGCTTATCCACACATTCTTTCTTCAGTGTTATTACTAGTGATTAAATTAGTTATCCTTCCTTCCCATTCAAAAGCCTTGCCTGGTTATTTTCTATCCCTGTAATACATCCTAATTTTCTTTTCTTTTTTTTGGGGGGGGGGGAGGGAGGGAAGGGGACAGGGTCTCACTATATAGTTTAGGCTGGCTTTGAACTCACTATGTAGCCCAGGCTAGCCTCAAACTTGTGGCAGTCTTCCTGCCTTGCTTCCAAATGCTGGAAGTACAGACATGAACCACTGTCCTCACACATCCTGACTTTTAAAATGACCGAGAGAAAGCTAATTTTCATCCATTGTGTATGGTAGCTTTTATTAGTCTATTATCAACAGATATTACTTATTTGTTTTATTTTTCTTTAATTTTGTTTATTTGGTACAGGGTCTTGCTATGCAGTTTGGGTAGTGATCCTCCTGTGTCAGCCTCACCAGCGCTGGGATTACAGGCATGAAACACCACGTCTGGTTTCTTTGGCCAGATGGGCTTGGTGTGCCTGCGGGCTGGGCCGGCACTGCATGTGGTGCTGCAGATTGAATCCCAGTCCCTGCGCTTGCCAGGCAGGCACTTAGACTGCTGAGCTATCTCCCCAGCCTTGCTCTATTTCTTGATAGAGCAGGAAGATACCCTATCCTAACCTCTCCAAGTAGCTAATTATAGTAAGATCATGCAAGGGCTTTTTGCTCTGGAAACTGCAGCTGCAAATATAGTTTATGAAGAAAATGCCTTATAAATTGAGGAACATTATTAAAAGCTGAGATACAAAGCAGTATTTGTTTTTTGTTGCTGTTTTTTTTTTTCTTCGAGATAAGGTCTTGCTATGCAGTCCAGGCTGGCCTCGTGCTCACTTTTGTACCCCCTAGGCCGTTCAAACTCTGAGATCCTGCTGTCTCAACCGTCTGAGTACTAGGATTACAGGCATGCCCCACCATGCCCGGTTCCAGTATCTGCCATTACTCTAGTAATAACCATCTATTGAATAAAATAATGAATACCAATTGTATCAACTTTGAACAAGGAAGACACTGACAGATGGTTCTAAATCCTAGAAGAGACTTATTTCACATAGGTATTATGTTAAGGGGTGCATGGAAATATGCACAAATGTTTTCTTATAGACTTTCATATAATAATAATTACCATGCTTAATACATATGAATGCTTACTACATACCATTTACATTTTTAAGTACTTTGCAAGAATTAGCTCATATAAATCAGGTCAATTTCTCTGCAACATTTGGTGAGCATATAATATTTAGAACTGAATTTTAATTTTATTAATTTAAAGGGCAACTGCCAATATTTATCTTCTTCAATGACATATCCACAGTTTTAATTTAGACATAATGGTGTCTGAAATATCTATTGAATGAATAAATGAATGAATGATTATATTTTGCGTTGGAACATACACTTTTTTAATGCCAGCTTCTAGTTTTCTTTCCATTTTCCCTGTACTTGTTTTCCCTTAATGTTCTAATAGTTTGTGGTGGTGCACTTGCTTTTCCCTAGTGCTTTTCTGAAGATTGCCTTAGATTTGTGACATTGGGAATGGGGCCTGACAAAGCAGATGAGGTCAAATTCAGTGTGTGCAGGAAGAGAGAGAGAGAGAGAATCAAAAGAGGTTACAATGGTTATAACCCCTGCTTATGACTCTCTGCTCTGTTTTGTTTATTATAGACTTTTCGTGCTGAAATGGTAAATAAATCCAACATGCTGAGTCTCAACAATCACAGTGGTGAGTAAGAAATTCACAGGCTCATTCTCTTGTTGATCATCTGAACTTTCTGCTCCAGATATCTAAGTAGGGTCATTCATTAGTAATTACAGAAAACATATTCAGTAATACCAGACACATAGGATGTTAACTCAAACCTAAGTAATGGCTGGGAAAGTAATGGAAACTTTAAAACACAGAAAAGGGTGATGTAGATTGCACTTCTAGGGATTCTGGTTTGGGATCTGGTTTAGTCTAAGCCAATTTCTACATGCCCCCCTGTCAGTTTTGTGGCTGAACTAGGCTTGGGATCACTGAGTTAAACCAATCCTGGCTGTGGTGAAGGGTTACCTTTGCTTCACAATCTCCTTCCTTTAGTGGAATTGGAGTGGACTGAGGTGGAATCTTCAATGACTGTCAGTGCTGGAAGCAAAGAGGGAGCACATGAAGAGATCTGACCTGGGATTGAGTCTCTTCTGAGCTTGTCTGTAAAGTAGTGATAATGAGGGTAACTGGAGATTATGAATGTAAAGGTATGCTATAAATTACAAAGCATTAAACAAATTCCAGGGTACCAATAATGGGTGACAAACTCCCAAGTGGCTAGAGAGTCCTGCTAACAGAAAGGGAATTAAGAATGGCTTCACAGATGAGAATGGCTCTAAACTGGGCTTTGAGGATGGCAAGATATCAGCGGCCAGCAGTGTGTGTTTGTGGGGGGCAGCACCCAACATGAGGAAGACCCACAGCAGCAAACAAATGCAGAACATTTCTGGGGAACTGTGAGGAATACAGAGGGGCTAAGTAGGAGGAGGAGATTTAGGCGAACATACAAACAAATGGAAAAGGAGCACACAAAGATCTATATGTTGTTAATCTGTTTTTTAAAATTTTATTTTATTGAGAAACAAATATCAATGAAACAGTTTCAAAAGGGTTTAATAGGACAGTTTCAATAATTAATACATTGTACGCTGTTATCTTCTTAGTGGCCATCCGTAGTACAAGATGCAGACAAAATATCCTGTTCAGACACTATTAGTACAAATCTTTCTTCTCATTGAATTATATGTTGTTAATCTGAATCATAACTCAAGCTTCACTATGCATGATAGTAGTTCTTGAGGACATCTATAAAGGAATTAGCTTGTGATGATAATTGACATAATAATTGATGATTAGTTCAGGTTATCAAGAAAAGGTTAAACTAAGAAGGGAGAGAAGCATATTTTCATTTGAAATATTTAGCTAATAGTTAAAATTAAACCCACTGTCATGACACATACCTGTGACCCCAGAACTCAGGAAGCTAAGACAAAAGGATTTTGGAAAGTCCAAGGCCAGCCTGGACTACTTAGTGACATCCTGTCCAAACAAGCAAACAAATGAACTGTTGAAATTAAATGTTTTAACTAGGCGTGGTGGCACATGCCTGTGATCTTAGCACTCACACTTGGACAGCTGAGGCAGAGGAGGATAATGGAGAGATCAAAGCCATCCTGGGCTACAAAGTGAGTTCAAAGCATAGCAAAACCCTTTCTCAAAAAAAAAAAAAAAAAAAAAAAAAAAAAAAGAGGGCTGGAGATGTGGCTTCACAGTAGAGTTCTTGTGTTGCATGTACAAGGACCTGGGTTCAAGGGCCTGGGTTCAATTCCCAGCATGACAAAAAAAAAAAAAAAAAGTTTTGATATGTTTTGATGCTAGAAGAGTATCCTTTAGTGATCTGAACAATTTATCTAGAAGAACAGTTCTTTTAATAATGATGGATTTGGGCGGGGAGATAGCTCAGTGGATGGATTAATGAAGTACCGCTGTGCATTATTTTTATTTGCTCTTAAAAAGTAATATAAGCTCCCTGAAATAATAAGAGATTAAAACAAACAAGCAAGCAAGCAAATAAAAAAACAAAAAAATCCATATGCCTCTAATTAAAATACCCCTGTAAGTTTTTACTCTTGTCTAAAACATTGGATTTTAGGCCAGCCAAATAGCTCAGTGGATTAAAGCACCCACAATCAGGTGCAAAGGCTGAGGGTTTGATCCCCAGGCCTGCCATGCCAGTCCTGCCCCTGGAGCACACTGAGATGGCAATTGAGACTGGGCGTGGTGGTGCATGCCTGTAATCCCAGCTCTTGGGAGGCTGTAAACAGGTGGATCACTACAAGTCCAATCTAGTAGTGAGACCCTGAAAACCCTGTAGACCCTTCCCTAGAATACAAAAATAAATAAATAAATAAATAAATAAACGATCAGATTTTATTTCTACTCAGAGGGAGTTCTGTCTTACTGCTTTGTCATAGCTCCTGGTGCCACCTAACTAAAATTACCAGGAGAAAGGTGCCACTTGCCCTATTGTCCCAGGATTACTACTGGGCAGCAGAATTGTGTAAACACTGGAGTCAGATGCCCACACCACGAGCTTTGTGGCCAGCACTTAACTTGTCCTCTCAACCTGGACAAGGTACTTAAGGACTCTCTCTGAGTCATAACTAACTCTTCTCATTTGTGGTACTACTAATTGTGCTTCTAGTGTTTTGAGGCTAGCATAAAATAATACTTGTAAGCCCTTGGACTAATACCTAGAACAACAAAGTTAGTGCCCATTACTTTCCCTCCTCAAAATACATATCTGAGATTATGTTTGAGATTTGTCCATGCAAAGCTGTTGACTTTTCACTGCTACAGTAGTACTCTGTTACTGAAGGACATTAGATTATTCCCAGATTTTTGCTGTTGCCAATAAAACTGGGCATTCTCATACTCTTCTCATATAAGTGCAAAAGTTTCTTTAAATAATATAATGATTTTTCTAGTTTTATATCTTTTGTGAATATAGTTTTGTTTATTCTGCATCCTTCCCAACACTTGTTGGTTTTACACTTAGGAATTTTTGCCATCCTGATGGGAGATTTTTTTTATTTCTCTGATTTCTAATAAGATAAGCACCTTTTTGTACCTATAGGTATATACGAGCCATTTGTGTCTCCTTTGTGGAAGAAGGGATTGGAAACTGGTGATGGGGATTTCTTCTTTTTCTTAATGGTTCCAGGCAATTCTTGATCCGTTCTAGATATTACATCACTTACCACTCCCTCTCAACTAGTCCACTGTCCTGTTTTTCAAATCTCAGATTAAAATTCAGTGTAGTTTCAGTTTTTAGGGTTTCACCAGTGATTGTGTTTGTTACTTCTTGTGCGAGGTAGATTGAATGGTTCAAATCAGGCCCCCAGCCCTTCTGTGCTGGGACATAAGCATCAAATGCTTGCTGTGCAGATGGCGAGGGGGCTTCCCTGTGCCACCCTCTAAACAGCGGGCAGTCTATACATCCTACCACACAGACAAGGTACAGTAAGGAATCCCGGGTAGTGGAATGAAAGGTATTTCTTGCTTTCAGTATATTTTGATAGTTTTTAACTTTCCATTAATAAATGTGTTATTTATAGAATCAGAAAATCATGCTTGGTTAAAAAACTTTTTTTCACTCACCAAAGTCGTTAGTTTTCAGAGATGTTTAACTTTAAATCTAGTAGTAGCAATAGGTTAAGGAAATTTCCACTCCCTGGAAATAATGCTTAGTTAATATCCAGGTTAAGATTGCAAAGTGAGGGGCAGGGAGCTGGCTCAGTGGAACAAGCGCTTTCCTGGCAAGTGCAAGGCCTGAGTTCAATACCCAGTTCTGCCAAAAAACAAAACAAAACAAACAAAAAAAGATTGCAAAGTGAGGGGCTGGCCAAATAGCTCAGTGGATTAAAGCACCTGCAAGCAGGTGCAGGGGCCAGGGGTTCAAACCCTGGGCCTGCTATGCTAGCCCTGCCCCCAGGGTGCACTGAGATGGCAATTAAGACTGGGCATGGTGGCGAGTGCCTGTAATCCCAGCTCTTGGGAGGTTGTAAACAGGCAGATCACTAGGAGTCTCATCTAGTAGTAAGACCCTGAATACCTTGTAGACCCTCCCTAAAATAAAATTTAAAAATACAAAGTGAATTTATCTGTGAATTGAGAGAGGTTACACAGCAGAGGCCAGGAGTGATGAAGCCAACTCCTTACAAGCTAACTTCTGTGTTCCCAAGAAGGCTATAAACTATCCATGTAGACCCCTTTTATATCCAATGTCTCTTTTATAGTTAATTGGATATTTAATTGGAGCTGCTACTGTAGGACTGTAGGCAGAGATGAAAATATCCGTGGTAGCTTTGTTCTGCACCATTTCAAAATCTACCAATACCAGGCACAGTGATGCACGCCTGCAATTACAGCACTCTGGGAGGCTGGGGAACGTAGCGACTTAGCAAGAGCCGGTCTCAAAAAATAAAAATGGTTTGGTGTGAAGGCCCTATGTTCAACCCCTAGTACTGCAAATACACACACACACACACACACACACACACACACACACACATCCTAGCCTAATCATTGTTTTAGTCTCCCACCTGTGGACCAGAGAGGAACAAAGAGAAAATGGATTTAATGATGGATCCCATATAGAGATAGAAATAGAGATACAAGGAAGATAGCTAAGATAATCGCACCACTAATTTCTATTGGTTTATTGAAAGGAATAGTTAATATTTAATTGTTTGATCTGGGAATCTAAATAACTACTTTGAATGTAACAATATGTAATATAACAACCACTGTTAATTTCTTATCTTGTTTTGAAATTCTGTATTATTTTTATTGTTTTTTGTTTTGTCTTTGTTTTTTTGTTTTTGTTTTTTTCTCTCTAAACTAAAAAAAAAAAAAAAAGATGAAGCACCTAGGATCGATCTTAAGGGACTCAACCTGGAAGAGAAGTATGAGGCTGAGGCATGGATCCAAAAGATACTGACCGCCAAGGACTACGTCATTGCAAATAATCACATCCTGTACCTTGGGAAAAAGGAACATGAATATTTGTCTGATCTTGAAAAAACCTCAAATGTCTCCATCTCAGAAGTTATCGAGCTGGAAAAGGCAAAATTGGAAATTAAAGGAGAACGCACTGACTGCATCAAGGTGGTTGTGAACATTGAACATATGCTGTGTGAAGTTCAGGAGGAAACTGCAAAGAAAAAGGAGCAAGGCCTTAGGAGTTTCTCAGGTGTGTAGCTTCCTGTCAACTTAGAACGTCAGCTCTCCCAACTGCACTTCCTTTGGGTGTGAGTGAGCTCGTAACACTGGGAAAGAGGAGAGCAGGCTACTCTGCTTCCGTGTTAGGTCATAAGCTTTTATGAGCCGTTTTTAGGCTCTCATTCTATTATTTATTAATAAATGAAACACATACATAGAGGAAAGAAAGGAGGATGGGAGTGAGGGAAAGAGCCAACTAGCCAGCTAGCCAGCCAGACCTGACCAACCAGTGTGCCTAAGATGCTATTGTAAAGCCTAGAGCAAAACCTAAACCCAAGCCATGCGGGAAACACACACTCCTAATTCTGCAAAGTGAGCATTCAAATGTAAACATACTCTACTTGATTATTTCTTCATTGAGTTATTTACTTATTCATTCATTTATTTGTTTATTTAATGGGCCGGGTAGATGGCTCAGTAGAATAAGCACCTCTCTAGCAAGTGCAAGGGCCTGAGTTCAATCCCCAGTTCCACCCAAAAAAAAAAAAAAAAAAGAAAGAAAGACCATGTACTATTTGTTTATTTATTTATTTATGGCAGCATTAGGAGTCCTAAGTATAATTTCTTACTTCTGTGGTCAACAGAAATATTCATTGGTACCATAGGGTATGCTGAAGCATCTCTTGTTCATTTGTGGCTAGATTCATCAAAATAACTAAGAATTCGGGTCTGAACACATCTTTCGAGCAGAGCCCTAGAGCCAACCAGGAAATTATGCCATTTAAAATGTCACCCTGGGAAACAGGATTATTTCCCTCAGTCAGCTATTATATACTGCATCCAGAATAAGTGCCACAAGTATTATTGCTCTAAGTATTGGGATAAACAAGGTGGACATTGTCCCTGCTCAAACTTTAATTGCGAATACTGACAGGCAGCACACAGGGGAGTTAGGAGGGTGGAACATGAAAGCACTGTGGAAGCACTGGGCAGAAGTACCTTGCCTAGGCCTGGGCGGTCAGGAGAAGGCTTCTCACAGGAGGTGGCCTACCCAGAGAACTAAGTAGCTATTAGCCAGGCAAAGAAAGCAAGTCTCTAAAAGTAAGGGTATGCATGAGCCTAGGTTATGAAGGCCTTATAAACTTCATGAAAGCATTTACGGTTTTTCTAAGCAAATGGGAAGCTGTGGAGGAATTTAAGAAAAGAGCAGATATGTTTAGTAAGTTCCCTTACCTGTAAGGTAGAGAATGGACTTAGAAGAGGTTTGAAAATTCAAATACAAATTTCATAGGACCTTTTCTTTTCATGTGTCTATAAAAAAAGTTGGAAAGAAATGATCTAAGTGGGTGCAAGTATGCAATACATGTTATGTCCACATTTCACAGAAAATCCAGTGACCAAAAACATGGATAAAAATGTTCTACAAGCAGGACAACAAAGATTAGTATTTCCATTTAGTTTTTGAAAAGTAATGATGTGGTTATTTAAATCGACACTAGTGGGGCCAGGGAGATAGCTCAGTAGTATAAGCGCCTTTCTGGCAAGCACAAGGGCCTGAGTTCAATCCATGGTTCTGCAAAAATAAAATAAAATAAATAAATTGACACTAGTAGGGTGGGCAAGACAGCTGAGTGAACTAAGCACCTGCTTAGGCAAGCACAGGGACCGGGGTTCAATCCCTGGCACATATGCTGCACTGGCCCTGCCCCTGGGCACACTGAGCTGGCCACTGAGACTGGGTGTGGTGGTGCACACCTGTAATTCCACTGCCGGGGAAACTGAAAACAGGAAGATCACTGTCAGTCTGCGCTGTGTAGTGAGACCCTGTACCAAATACATAAAAAACAAACAAACAAATAAACACGTGACAATAGTTTCAGTTCAGAAGAACAGAAAATGAAGAAATGTTGATCTATAACATAGCCTGTAGTATCACTTTCACCACATTTGTAAGGTCAACCCACTATTTCAACAATTGGCAATTTAGAGTTAGGTAAGCCCAACTCCACTGCAAGATGATATTTTTGCTGGGGATGTATTTCAGCAGTAAAGCACATGTCTAGCATGTACAAAATTCTAAATTTGGTCTCTAGCATTGAAAAAAAATCAATTTTCATATTTAATGAGTAAGTATATTATTTCATAGCAATATGTCAGAGGTTCATGTAAACTGACCCTCTCTAGCTAGATTAAAATTTAGAATACAAACAAAATAGATGATTTTGAAGTGTAGTTATTCTAGGGAACATCAGAACAAAGAAGTTTAAGAAAAGCAGCAGTTAGGTTTCTCTCTCTCTCTCTCTCTCTCTCTCTCTCTCTCTCTC